CCATTATAATTATAAGCTGATGTTGTACCTCATACCCTAAACTATTGTTATACCTCATGATGCTGTACCTTATACCCTAAACTATTGCTATACCTCATAACACTGTACCTTATACCCTAAACTATTACTATACCTCATAACGCTGTACCTTATACCCTAAACTATTGCTATACCTCATGATGCTGTACCTTATACCCTAAACTATTGCTATACCTCATGATGCTGTACCTTATACCCTAAACTATTGCTATACCTTATAACGCTGTACCTTATACCCTAAACTATTGCTATATCTCATAATGCTGTACCTTATACCCTAAACTATTGCTATACCTCATAACACTGTACCTTATACAGTGTTATATTGCTATACCTCATAACGCTGGACCTTATACGGTGTTATATTGCTATACCTCATAACGCTTGACCTTATACCCTAAACTATTGCTATACCTCATAATGCTGTACCTTATACCATAAACTATTGCTATACCTCATAATGCTGTACCTTATACCATAAACTATTGCTATGCCTCATAATGCTGTACCTTATACCATAAGCTATTGCTATACCTCATAATGCTGTACCTTATACCATAAGCTATTGCTATACCTCATAACGCTGGACCTTATACGGTGTTATATTGCTATACCTCATAACGCTGGACCTTATACCCTAAACTATTGCTATATCTCATAATGCTGTACCTTATACCCTAAACTATTGCTATATCTCATAATGCTGTACCTTATACCCTAAACTATTGCTATATCTCATAATGCTGTACCTTATAGTCTAAACTATTGCTATACCTCATAATGCTGTACCTTATACCATAAGCTATTGCTATACCTCATGATGCAGTACCTTATACCCTAAACTGTTGCTATACCTTATGATGCTGTACCCTATACCATAAGCTATTGCTATACCTGATATCACAGGCTAAGGTAGTTTATGTACCTACTTGTCCTATGATCTTCTCTGTATGTATATAAGCAACTTCCTCTGATCTTCTATATATTCATGTACACACTCTTCCCCTGATCTTCTCTGAGCTTATTTAAGAACTCTTACACTGATCTTCTCTGTGTTTATGTACACACTTTTCCCTTCATATTTTCTGTGTGTATACAGATAATCTTCTCTCACTATTCCACTAATTCTTTCACTATATATTTATATACTCCTTTTCTGTATATTGAAATGCTCAAAAATAATTTCCTTAAAATACAGGCAGCCTTTTTAAATGCAAATATTATTTAACTTTTTCGAATCACAGTTTTCTGGATGCTTCATTTCTATCTTAAGATTTATTTAATTTTTTGAAATGTGTCTTTAATACAACTTTCTGTGTAATAAGAATTCTCAGTTCTGTTACAGATCGTGTACGTTGGTTCTGTATTTCTTCTATTGATTACAATCCACTTTTCACGTACTGGTGAGTCGTCCTTACCATTATCATAACTAATATTGTATTTGGTTTTGGGATGTTCCTACATCCTTCTTTACACAAGCTTCCACTGTTCAGTTCTTGGAAGTCTTACATTATTCCCTGTTTTGAAAGATTGGGAAATGTTCTCTTCTAGTACAGTCTTGTGATATCCAACTATTTATCCGTATAGTAATCTATCTTGCTGATCATTTATCTATGTTATGTCCCCGTCTCTTTGAAGACGTGCAACTTTCTCCTCTGTTTCATTCACATCAACTTTAATTTCAGATAATTGGATTAAAAATGCAAATATGTTTACAGATTTTTCTCCGTTTTATTGGTATGGGATATTTTCTAGAAAATAGCTGAGTGTTATACATGTGTATAAGTAGAACTACAACTGAAAACAGAAACAATATATTTGCAGGTGCCTTGAAGAGAGACTGAATGCTGCGGAGGTTCTTGCAAAAAATGAAAGTCTCCCATGCCCATTATTGATAGATTTGATGACTAATGAAGCCAATGTTGCGTATGGTGCATTTCCTGAGCGTCTTTACATAATTAAACGAGGAATAATCGTGTATGAAGGCGGTATAGGGCCGAAGGAATATAGTGTAAGTAGCTCAGGTAACGATTTTTATATATCTGAAAACATGCCTGTCCAGTCCATGTAGTATCAGTGACTATGTCTGGTCCTTGTAGTATTAGTGAATGTATCCAATTCATGTAGTATCAGTGACTATGTCTGGCCCTTGTAGTATTAGTGAATGTATCCAATTCATGTAGTATCAGTGACTGTGTCTGGTCCTTATAGTATTAGTGAATGTATCCAATTCATGTAGTATCAGAGACTGTGTCAAGTCCATGTAGTATCAGAGACTGTGTCAAGTCCATGTAGTATCAGTGACTGTGTAAAGTCCATGTAGTATCAGTGACTGTGTCCAGTCCATCTAGTATCATGAATGTGTCCAGTCCATGTAGTATTAGTGACTGTGTCCAGTCCATGTAGTATCAGAGACTGTGTCAAGTCCATGTAGTATTAGTTACTGTGTCCAATCCTTATAATATCATTGAATGTGTCCAATGCATGTAGTATCAGTGATTGTGTCCAATTCATGTAGTATCATGAATGTGTCCAGTCCATGTAGTATTAGTGACAGTGTCCAATCCTTATAATATCATTGAATGTGTCCAATTCATGTAGTATCAGTGATTGTGTCCAATTCATGTAGTATCAGTGAATGTGTCCAATTCATGTAGTATCATGAATGTGTCCAATCCTTATAATATCATGGAATGTGTCCAATCCTTATAATATCATGGAATGTGTCCAATCCTTATAATATCATGGAATGTGTCCAATCCTTATAATATCATTGAATGTGTCCAATCCTTATAATATCATTGAATGTGTCCAATCCTTATAATATCATTGAATGTGTCCAATCCTTATAATATCATTGAATGTGTCCAATCCTTATAATATCATTGAATGTGTCCAATCCTTATAATATCATTGAATGTGTCCAATTCATGTAGTATCAGAGACTGTGTCCAGTCCATGTAGTATCAGTGACTGTGTCCAGTCCATGTAGTATCAGTGACTGTGTCCAGTCCATGTAGTATTAGTGACTGTGTCCAATCCTTATAATATCATTGAATGTGTCCAATTCATGTAGTATCAGAGACTGTGTCCAGTCTTTGTAGTATCAGTGACTGTGTCCAGTCCATGTAGTATCAGTGACTGTGTCCAATTCATGTAGTATCAGTGAATGTGTCCAATTCATGTAGTATCAGAGACTGTGTCCAGTCCATGTAGTATCAGTGAATGTGTCCAAATTTATGTAGTATCAGTGAATGTGTTCTAGCCATGTAGTATCAATGATTGTGTCCAATTAATGTAGTATCAATGACTGTGTTCTAGCCATGTAGTATCAATGATTGTGTCCAATTCATGTAGTATCAATGACTGTGTTCTAGCCATGTAGTATTAGTGATTGTGTCCAATTCATGTAGTATCAGTGACTGTGTTCTAGCCATGTAGTATCAATGATTGTGTCCAATTCATGTAGTATCAATGACTGTATAAAGTACATGTAGTATCAGTAACTGTGTTCAATCTTGTAGTATCAGTTATTGTGTCCAGTACATGTAGTATCAGTAACTTTGTTCAATCTTGTAGTATCAGTGACTGTGTTCTGTACATGTAGTATCAGTAACTGTGTTCAATCTTGTAGTATCAGTGACTGTGTTCTGTACATGTAGTATCAGTAACTGTGTTCAATCTTGTAGTATCAGTGACTGTATAAAGTACATGTAGTATCAGTAACTGTGTTCTGTACATGTAGTATCAGTAACTGTGTTCAATCTTGTAGTATCAGTGACTGTGTTCTGTACATGTAGTATCA